TCCATTTTTCTAATGATGCAATCAATGAATAAATTTATTTATATCAATTGGCAGGCGTTTTGATGGTTATCATTAGTCCTTTAGTTGACTTCAGGCTTCACAGAGGGGAAGGAACATAAAAGTGAAAAAAAGTCGAGGGAGGGGGGAGGGGAACAGAAGAGTGTTTCGAAGAAGAAGGTATAAAGGGTAGACAAAAGGTGAGGTGAGTATTGTGAAAGTAGTCGTATATGACATACAATGGGGTCATGGCAGTTTGAAGTCAGAAGTCAACTGACGGTTAATGGACTTTTTTGCCATATGAGTATTCGTTGCCCAGGGTGCACCACGTGGGGGTAAGTCTATCGCACACCCCTAGGAGTACAATGAATAAATAATAATGGTGATATTGCTAATGAGTTGTAATTACTTCTTCATTTTCCGCCATTGTAGCGGTTTGCTACACAAATAATCCTTGACTTATCCTCAACAATCTCTATGACAAAATATCCCTGTCTTCGGATAGAAGAAGCAGATGTGTAGTGAACATAGCGTTTATTGAAATTATCATGACAGCAAATATTATCAGAGATAATATAACTTGACTGTCTGAGAAGTCCTTTGCACGCCCAACCACACCCTCCAGAATGTTAAGATTGCGAACCTAATTCTATCAAGATAATGCACATATTATCTAAAAGTCGCATTTAAACGTCACAGACGTCTAGGTAACTTTTGCAATTTACACCGATAGCATAAACGGCGTTTATTGAGCTGGGAGAGCTGTAAGCACTTGACGTGCATTCAGACAATGCAAAAAAACTTAAATAGATAAAATATCCAAATCAGCAGGCTAATTTTAATTTATTAGATTTATGAAGGTGAATAACTGTCAGTTGCAAAATTCTCGGCAGACACTGTGAACGTGAACATTTTAAACCATAATTCTTGGTCGTTATTGCGTAAATAATTTATGTCTGTTACTTCGCAACAAGTTAGCATTCACGGGCACAGAGCAATGGATAAGTATTTGAAGATGGTGGAGATGCTACCCAGATGTACAAACCCACCATGCTGGGAAGAAGTTTAGCAAAGATGAGGAAAAAAATAATTCAATTCAACTTGCATAATCTCTTCATTTAATGACCATTGTCATATCGTTGAGTATCTATTCTACAATGGAACAATGATGCCATAACAACGAACTAAATTCAGGTTATCTCAAGCCGCATGCAGCCTATTTATGATGACATATAAATTTTAATTAAGTGCTAACTAATTGTGCAAAAGTCCTTTCAGTTTTTTTTGTGTTAAGCTAATACGATGTTACTTCGAAAAGAATAGATGGGCCCAACCAATTTCTACATATCTCTACCCTACGTAATGTCACTAAGATGGTCAAAACGTTACTGAGGCACGGTGCAGATTTAAATTTCAGAAGTTCTAAATTATCATGCCAACTTTATATAACTGTTAGTCACGAGAGAAAAAGTTGTGTTCATATCTTATATTATTTGACAGGAAGACGCGTCCATTCGAAATGAAAATCGAAAACTATAACTTATGGAAATTTTTTGCGTGTGATGCATAGAAGCACTGGACGAATTTATCTACTGGATACCACTGCAAAACCAAGTAATACACGACCCACTTAGGGTTACCAAATTCATCTTTAAAGGAAACATCAGCCAAACGGAAATCAATAGTCACTGCAAGGCAGTCAAGTATTACTTATATTTAATGAGTAGGGGTGAGCAATAGACTTACCTCCACGTGGTGCACCCTGGGCAACGTAACTCATACGGCAAAAAGTCTATTAACCGGGAGTTGACTTCTGGTTTCAAAAAAATACCATGGCGCGACTGCTTGTCATATTCGACCGCTTCCACAGTACTCATCTTATCTTTTTCTCTGCCTTTGTGTCTGTCTGCCTCTTTTACATCTGTGAATCGCTCTTCTGTTCCCCACCCCTCGACTTTCTGCTACTTTGATGAATCTTCCCTCTGTGAAGCCCGAAGTCAAGTAAGGGGCTAATGATAGCCTGCCATTTGAAATAAATAAATATTTAATGAGTATCCTTGTGGCAGCCCGACGTTCAGTTTCTCAAATACAGTTGACCTAGTTTTGCTATCATCGCGAACAGTGCCATACTTGACCATTTTTGCAATATCCGCAAGAATGTAAGATATGGGAAATATTCATAATTCTTTTCACATGGTTTTTTTTCGACTCACTAATTTATGCACTACGAGAAGGAAGTTCTAATTCAACCAATATCATAATTAAGAAATAGAATAACAAATTTAGGCATTATGCATTTAAATTCAAGAGAAATGGTTGATTTGATGATGAAAATAGATTTAATGTTCTTGGCATCTAAAAATACTTGTAATTATTTACCGTAACACACATTTAGACAATATTAATTAACTGCTAAAAATGTACCCCCCCACCCTTGGGGGAAGCTGGAGTCAAAGTTTAAGGGATAATGATAAATATCACAAAGCCTGCCATTTGAAATAAAAATAATTATAATAATTAGACAAACTACAATCTAACTATATTAAGTCTGCTTTGCTAAAGTTTAAAAATGTATGGAGGAGTTCGCTGTTTATTAAACGAAATAATTTTTATCAATAATTTAAATAATAGAATAATTTTCAAAGACTAGTGATAGTGGAGCATTTTCTTTATTGTCTGAATTACAAATCTCAATTACTTTAGCAATGATTGGCTAACCTTATCTGGGCTTCTGAGATTACTCTACCATAGCCCACTGATGATGTCTGATTTGCCCGAAGGTTGGACGACTAAAACTTCATCCTCAACAGGTATTATAATGACAAATAGTACTTATTTCGATTTTTCGACATTGTCACATTAAATTTCTACCTGAACAGGACGCCAGTATTACGTTAACATGGCTACCGGAGAGTCACAGTGGGACAAGCCAGTTTCCGGGGAGAGGGTTCGTTGCAGTCATCTCTTGGTCAAACATGCCGGTTCTCGACGTCCATCCTCTTGGCGTGAGGCAAATATTACGCGCAGCAAGGAAGAAGCACTCCAGATACTTGAAGGTTTGTTCTATTATTATCTTAGCAACAATTTTCTTGTCAATCTAAGTTCCATTCATGCCCTGAATAGGTTTTAAGAAAGACATTGAATCAGGAAGAAAGACATTCGAGGATTTGGCTTCAGTATACAGTGACTGTAGCTCAGCTCAAAAGGGCGGTGATCTTGGTTTCTTCACACGAGGGCAAATGCAAAAGCCCTTCGAAGATGCTTCCTTTAATCTTAAAGTTGGTGAGATGTGTGGACCGGTTGATACTGACTCTGGAGTTCATCTCATCAAAAGGACTGCTTAATTGAACGCGGTTTTCGTGTGTTGTACAAATACCATAATACATGCATTTCTTAATAATGTGAATATTCTCTACTGATAGTTTCGCGATAATGTGCTGATCTTTCGAGCCAGATTTAAATCTGATAACGCGGCTCATTGATGAATGCCAAGTCCAGGTTTCGTAAGGCATCGTTTCTCTTCCTCTATATTGGCGGGGTTTAGGTGACGTAGCCATAAGCAGGTGACTAACAGGCCGTATTTTTGCTCTGGACTATCAGCCTCATTCGCGCTTGTAACTCGGGATTTTCTTATAGAATTGGACACACCACCGACTTACTGATCAATGTGGGAGTCTGCAAAGGTCATGTGTTTAGAAAGGAACAGAGGGTGGAAACAAGGTATGGAATTACCTTCCAGGGAATTCAGGACTTAGAAAACCTTGAACACATTTCATGAGTTTCTGTAAAATAACCTTAAATTAGAAGGCCGTAAATTTGATCCAAAGTTAATTTTGTATTTAACATAAACATCTATCATAAAAAAGAATAGATACTTTAATGAATACATGTACATCCGGTAGGTGCGTTAGGGAAGTCAAAGCATAATTTTATTTAATAAGAACATCGAAGAAGAATATCTACTAGGAATCCAACTGGCCATCCAACTTCCACTCCATTGATTGTTCTATTCAACTAAAGAGGAAAATGAGAAAGTATTGGTTATTATTTCCACTACTCCTTCGCGTTTGCGTAAGAGAGTACAACAGATTTGCTGCTGTGTAGATTAATGGTTAATCATATAGCCAATAAATTAAAAAAGGTTTTTATATACACGACGAAGAGAACTCATGTTTTGGAAATCAGTATATGATCTCGCTAGGTAGCTCAGGTTACATTAGTGATCAATATTTACAGCTAATAATTATGATAGAAATAGCTATCTAGACATCTTACATTGAGATATTTATCCATAGGAAGATCAAATCCATGCGAAAGGAGAGCGTATATGTAAGTGAGTTCTGTGCATCGAAACGGTTCCTCTAACCGCCATTCAGAACAAGCTAGACGGACAAAGTAAAATACATTACACAATTGGCCAATCTAAAGATACAAACAAATAAGTTCCGTGGGGGGTACCTTTCTTGGCAGCATCAAAGTACCATTGTACAGGAACACGTCCATCGCCTATACTACTTGAAAACGTTTCAGAAACTTCCTCTGTAATGGAGCACATGTAGGACATTGCGTGGATTTCAATATCCTTCAAGTAATCAATATGATGCGTTCGGTTAACTGAACCGTGAAAAAAGGAAAACAAAAACAAGGATAAATGAAAGACACGACATCTAATAATCTAATTTAGAGTAATTAAAAAATGCAGTATTAATTATTAATAATTAACTAAGCCATCAAATAATGCCAGTTAACCGAGGTCAAATTAATTCGATTGATTAAATATATAAACATTATTAAGATTGCTGGATGTGCCTGTCAGCCGATTGAATGACTAATTGTATAAGCTAATAGCAATTACATGGGGGAGTAGGAGAAAGCGGATTTTTCACCGGAAAAGCTGCAAACTCCCACTTGCTTGGCAAAAGCAATTAGAATGATTACTTTTGTAGTTAAGACGTGGTCTATAGCTTGAGTGAAAAACCTACCCCCTAATCCACGTTCAGAGATAACGCCTATGGCAGTTTCAAAGCACTGATCAAAGGCTTGGTCGGCTGGAAAAACACGGCCATCGAAACCATGAGTAATTGTCCAATTCGTGCCTCCATAGTACCATTTACCCTGAAATAATAGGCGGTAAATGAAAATGTATTGATAAAAATTTCAATTGAATTAGCAGGAAGGAAGGTAAAAATATAAAGGAAAGCAAATCATCTTAAGCAAAAAACAAAAGAAGATGAAGCAAATGACATCACTTCCCTGGGCACATTGTAGCAAAAAATATAACAGCGGTGATAGTAATTTGACCTACAAACTAGATAATGATAACGAAGATGCCATTAATGCAATACCCCCCCCCCCCCCTCTAAGACCAGATAATCTGATGGGATGGAATTGGTGCAAAATGTGCACAATTCCGTGTTATAGAGGGGACAGAAGGAATCATCACGAGAGCACAGAACATAGAAAAGGGAGATATGAAGGATTAAGAGATAGGTACCCCCCACTGAAGTGGTAAAGGTCAAAGTGGGGGAAATAGTTTTAATTGTACAAAATAGAACACTTAGGCAGTGCGAACAAAATAACTTACAGTGGCATCGATAGGGAAACACGGAGAGAGTAAATGGTGTGCTTTTTTCAGGTCCGAAAAATTTGAAGATCGCATAAACATGGAATGCATTGCGGAAATAAGCCCCAAACCGAGGTAACTATGGGCAAAGAACTACAAAGAACGAATTAAAGTGACACAATCACGACCACAGCAAGGTTAATTGGAAACCGAATCGCAAACCTTTCCACTAGGTGGAGCAAACTGGGTACCAATGTAAGCACTAGGCATCACATGGACATCCTCATTATGCCCTTCATCGATAGTTGAACTGGTCCCAAAAGTAACCTGGAATGATGCACCACCCAAGTCGAAGATTGCTTGTTGATGGAGATAAGAATTAGATTCTGCTGTTGTTGTTGTTGCTGCTGGCAGTGTAGATTGGGAAGAATTACAGGATTCAATGCAGGACTCCTGTCGAAGGAAAAGGAGGGATATCCAAGCGAAGAAACCTTCATCTATACCATCCATAATACCCACCGCTCCTTCAGTGGCTAAATAAAAGCCTGAGGAGTTGAATAGACTATACACCTAGAATAAAGTCATGTTAATAGAGAGTTGTCCTGCACTTGTCAATGCTGTGATTGCTCATTTACTACGGTCCAATTGCTTATCAAGATATTGAGTCAAATTGGTTCATAATGTGCGCTATCCTACTGCCCCCACCCCCTCCCCCCTGTTATTATTGTGTGTATACGTAATTGGAGTAATACAATTTAATGCAAAAATAAACAAATAAAACTTACCGATTCAAGTAAGGCATCAGCAGCAAACTCCGGTAGTAACCGAAGACCAGCAGTGGCGCGGAGAAAGAGAGGCGTTTGAGAGCGCTTATGCAAGGGTACACGCATATTAACTTGTTCAAGAAGGGGCCGTAGGTATCCTATAGATTCTAGGGGGAATCGGGCGAATTCTGAAAGACCTGGATTCACGCAGAATGCCTCTTCACTCAGTAACCGGTACTGGCACCCATCTGAAAGAAAACAACAAACTAAGGCAGTGTGGTTTTATGAAAAAAAAATAAATAAAAACAGGACTAACACGAGAGTTGATCGAACATTGAAAGGTAAATAAGCAATCTTGTTGAAAAAGTCTTTGTTTAATAGCTCCCGTTGATAGCATAAACAACATTCAGCGCAAAAGAACCTTTACTGACAAAATGAGTAGCCTTGCGGGAGGGAGGAGAGAGTTTCAACTCATTCATGTAATGCTTTAAAATCTTTACCAACTTTCTGATATACTAGATAATGGAGAATGCGTGAATTCTTTGTCTACTACAAATTAACGGGATTTTCCGAAAGTATGCCCACGGGAGTTTATTCGGATGGGCGGTTATTTGGTTCCAAAAATATTTCTATGAAATGGAATTTTCCGTTTAACCACTATGGACGGATTTTTGGAAAGCCCCGGTCCACTAGGATTCTTCGCATTATAAGAGAAAGGCACAGTAAAGAAGTATAAAGGAATCAAAAGGTACGCAATCAGTCCAAATTCTACAAGGATGTAGACGAAGAAGAGATTACAAATACAGGTTTGGGATTTCGATACAATTCTCAATCACTATCCTACTGGTAGATTTAAATATACAGTGTTGTCAAATCCAAGGAGCAAAAAATTGCAAGAGCACATTATAATTGAATGTAGGGATGACCTGGAATAGTTCCTTCGAAATGATAATCATGCAAGATTTAATGATGCGCCAGCATTAAACCATACTTTGTGATAGTAATCTGGCGCGAAGACACGCAAAAGATTCTCATAAACCATTGGCCATTACAATAGTTGAATATACAACAAAGGCCACTGCTATCACATGTAATACACCTATTGATATACATATGATACAGAAAAAAAGATGGAGAACAAACCAGATTAGACGGGTCCACTAACTAGACCTTGATTGACCTGGTTTAGAATTAATTTATGTACAAATAAAGGGTTGTGCGATAGACTTACCTCCACGTGGTGCACCCTGGGCAACGTATACTCATACGGCAAAAAAGTCTATTAATCGGCAGTTGACATCGGACTTCAGACTACCATGACCCCATTGCATTTCATATTCGAATAATTCCACAGTATTCAACTCACCTTTTTTCTACCGTTGTGTCTGTCTGTCTCTTTTACGTCTGTGAATCATTATTCTCCCCCCTCTCGACTTTTTACCACTTGGATGTTCATCTTCCTTTCTGTGAAGCCTTAAGTCAACTAAAGGGCTAATGATATCTATCATAACGCCTGCCATTTGAAATAAATAAATAAATTTAAGATTAAAATAGCATAACAACTTATATTGAAGAGACATAATAAAAAGAAACACTCTTATTCTACAAACTCAATATCAAGCACTGAAATCCACTATTCTACTATAGCGCATTAGCCAAATTGCTTGTTCGAAAAGGTCAATAGGGTAGCCCGTTTCCAGTGTAGAACACTAAGGGAAACTATATACCAGGGTTTTCTAAAGGCACGCACATCCGAATAAGTGCCAATGGATCCAAAAATAGTTTCATTACATGCAATTTTCCGCTTAATCGCTCTGGGCGAATTTCTGGAAAACCCCGGGAAGTGTACAGCGAGTAGTTAATGGCATACCTGAAGAGTTGCGAAGAACTTTGTAGATACGCGCCCTTGAACCGGTGCTGCCAGCGTCGAAAACAATTCCATAGATTGCATTTTCGTCAAATTCGAAAAAGCGAGGAAGAGAGATAGAAAACCAATTGAGGGAATAGGCCAAAAATATTACCAATAGACTTGTGAAAAATAGGGAAAATCCCTGGCATCGACTCATTACCTGAGAGAACAAAAAGATAGTTAGCTTCAGGTAACGATCCTAGTGCCCAAAGTAGAAAAATTTATTTGTTTCCGAAGTTATATTTACAATACAGCATAAATAAACCGACAAAATTGCGTTAAAGCTAGAAAATATCCGATTTAAGTCAAAGAGTCGATGGAAAGCGAGCAATAGAAAAGACAAATAATATGATGGAGCAGAGACAGCCACAAATGAATCCATTAAAAGGACTGAACGGAAGGGCCATTGAGACAAAAATGAAAGCAACGATTAAGGCTAAAATGAAACGAAATGCTGTGATGGCGTTTAGGCAGAAACAGGTACTCCATTCACTGATATAACATACGCGTTTAAATAAACTTACATGATGTAAGGAGAACGGTAAAAGTACTGATTAAACCCATTATTAGCATCAAACAGGGAAAATAAATTCTGGCACGATTGTGGGCTCTTAGATTGACAATAGATATAATCATAGCGATTCCGTAAATCACTGCATTACAAGCCGATCCCCATAAAAACACCACCCACCAAATACCTGAGAAGTAAAGAAAAAGAACCCTACATACCACTTAACATCACAACACGTAAATGATCGGATAAGCTAGTGCGCCCAATAGGCTAAGGCCATAGATATTTTAAGAGTCAGCTGTTTGTGATAAATTATATTATGTAGAAAGCCAAAAGTAAACTCATTTACCAAAAACTCTCCTCATGAACTCTCGCAATTTAAATCAAGTAAAAATTAATAGTGTTTTTCACGTAATAACCAGAATTCTCAATGATATAAGAATAAAAAAATGCGAATAGTATAAGAGGACACTGACAATCTGTTAATAATTGCTTTATGTGCTACAAAAGGTATTATTATTGAAAAAATGTTAAGGTATTTATTTTGAGCTCATGACTTTTCTCGGAATTACCTTACAAGAATTTTCTGCAGAGTTGCTACTATCACCTTAATATGATACAGCAAACAGTAAAAGTATTCTCTAGAAAATCCCTAACAGAAGGTACTAAAAAGATCCAAATTTTTCAATTTGCATATGCGGTCTCTGATTTGAAATGATTACTATATCACCCATTCCTTTTTGCTATTTTTCAGAGCATTGTAATTAATTAAATCCCATGCAATAATTGGCCATTCTTGGCAAGAATTTTGCTTAAGTAACAGCAAATATTTTCAGCATTGTAGATTACTTGATAATCATTACCGTTGACTTGGATTTTATTGAAGAATTAACGATAGGTTCGAAGGTAATAATCGGTGCCCATCAGAAATGAGGACTGAAACCTCTGATGTACACTTGTCCTTTTGAAGCGAAGTGACCTGAAAAAGATTCGATTGCTTTAAGCATAATAAATGATATTAAAATGCTATGACCTAATTTTTAGCCATGAATTTGGAATATAATTTTCTATCTTCGTTAAATGATACAGATATTATATTAGAGAGTAATATTACTTAAGAAATTTGAGACTAAGCAGCCCCACCTCAGTAGAATATAACTTCTTCAACAAATTACCACTACTCTGAAGCTGAAAAACGCTGCCGAATTGATATTTACAAGAATTCTGTTAATAAAATGTCCATTTCTCAAAGTAGTCTCTGAAAACCTTTTTCATCAAATTATGGGTGCCCACTTCAAATTCATTAAGTTAATCGACTTTGAACATACGAGCTTGGAAGATGTGTGGGGTTTTGATTTACACAAGAGGATGAGAGCAAATGCGTTTGAACTTAAGAGGAAAATTAACTGTTATCAATCAATACGCGGGCATAGTTTTGCGGACTTGACCATTTCCGCATATTTGAGGAGTGGTGAATAGAGGAGCTCTTTACCATTACACATGCTCCTCTATAAGTGTGAATTCAGATGACCCTCGAACACTAGTAAGTGAATCATAATCTTGTGGACGATTAACAGCTCCCTGGAAGTCGCACAATGAGGCCTGTTTTAATCAACAATATGCATCATTATTTTCATTTATATGTTAATTTAACTGTATAATAAATATACTTTATTATTTTTTGATTTCAGATGTAGAATAAAACTTTGCATTATGATTTCAACTTATCGTTGGAGCCAAATGAATCTCCGATTCTTAAAGTTTCGATCCTTTAAATTTTTGAAATGTGAAAAAGAACACTTTCATCGCATAATGGGCCAGTAATGTGTGGCATTAAGCTAGATTCCTTGACCCAAAATGACAAAGCCGCAAAAACTACCATTGGCATACATTGCAATAAGAGACCAAATTCGCCTGGGATTACGAACTACACTAGGGGCTCCACGAAATTGAACGCATTGGAGTTATTTTGGCCACAAAATCTCGAACAAAAATGATATCAGTTTTACATTTTTTTCATAACACATTCTAGAAAAAAAGCGAACAACTCACAAATATACATTTACACAATTGTCAGGACACACGAAATGGCATGATAAAATCAAAGGTAATGGGAAAATGTAAGGAAGCTTCGCAATGATCCGACCATTGGATAATTTCACACAAATGAGGATCCAATTGTGTTGGTTCAAGTGATCTTTCTGCGAAAATGTTGCAAATCTGCCAAGAGTGTGTTAAGTTATCATTATTATTATATCAAATGGCAAGCGTCTTGTTGGTTATCATTAGCCCTCTAGTTGACTTCAGGTTTCACAGGGGGGGG